GAGGAGGTTGGAGGGGGGGGCGGGGGGCGAGATGACGACGAGAACGGACAAAATCGGACAGAAACAGGACATGAAAAGCCGTCATCATAGCTTGGGAAATGGTGTGTGCGCCGGTGGGACGCTATGTTATGATGGGCGTGACCGAGGGTACTGCTTGCTTCTCTCCACCGCACCGCTTGCAAGGTAGTCCCGCAAAAGAGGTGACGACAAGCATAGGAACCGTACTTTCTCCAGCTACGTCGAGGTATGCTATCACGACTGTTTAGAGCAGTCTTCCTCAGGCCAAGGAGCATCCTGGCGCAGAAGTCCCGCGATACGATACGCGGGAAGGACGTCTATCACTTGGGACCGCGGTCACTCCTTCACTCCCAGGGCGGAAACGAAACGTACAATGCTGTGCGTGTCAATCAAACGAAAATACCGAATGAGGACGACTGCAGCGTTCTATCAAGATGGAAATGGATGAACTCTGGAAAAAAAACCATGAAAGACAGACAAGTTATGTGCCTCCGCCCAAATTGTTCCTTGCAGTCAAATTCATCCAACGTCTCAGAACATTTCCAACGCCCCCCGCCCGCCCAAACCCAGCCATGCCTATCCCCACCATGTCCAGGACAGGATGCGTCGTGCGAGTGACTGGCGGCAAGCACATGCAACACATGATGTGAATGGATAATGGACATCGGTTCCCTGTGCCTTTGTGACGGCCTGGGCGGCCCGTGGAGATCACTTTCGCTCCTCCGACCCCCCCTACCCATACTACCGCCACGCACGCAGGCGTTCCTGTTACCTTCGCACTGGTCACATGCACCCAACCCACGTCACCATCCACGGCTTAGGTTCCCTTTCTCACATGTGACTACGGCACAGGTTCTTTTTCCAGGCATAATGTGTCCGGGACCTCAAGATGGGAAGGGCACTGGCCTGGTAGAGAATCCCTTGGTGGCAGCAGCTGCGGGCTTGTATGCGGAAACCGAGCAGCCAGACAAGGACGAAGGAGTATGGGATTTTTTCCGTTCGTACACTGACGAGCCCCATAAGTCACGGTAAGAGGGTAGGACTGCTGTTAGTAGGAACACGATTGACGAGTAAGCAAGCAGTGGCGGCCCCCGATAGACATCACCCGGGGCGGGCACCTCGATGAATGCAACCCGGGTTTAGGATATTTCGTACTATCCTAGCCCATGACCATAGCATCCATCTCACGTCCCCCCCTCATTTCCGCGCGTTGGTTTTCTTGTCCAGGCGTGAGGCCATCTTGAAAGCCCATCCTGAGATCCGGAAGCTCTTCGGGCATTGTCCGTGGACAAAGTACAAGGCGGCCGCGATCATTTCCACGCAGGTAATGCGGCGGGCGGGTACGGTATGGAGCCTCTAGTGTGGAGCAGGGGAAAAATGTCGGGCAGTCAAGGAAGGCCTGAAAGGGTTGGGGAGGGGCATCCGCGTGACGCCCGAAGAGAGGAAAAGTGCGGAAGTGCGGACAATGGCTTGCGCGACGGACGAGCAGAGAGGGCTAAGGAGGAGGGACGGGGGGCATATCCAGATGCAATGAACGAGGTGGCTTGCGTTTTTCTCTATCCCACGCTCCCTCGAATCACCTCTTCATCCCCGGTAACCGTTCCCCCGGGGCTGCAGGTCATGGCCGCCGTGGTCCTTCGCCACGCCCCCTTTCCCCTCCTCCTTTTTCTCACCTACACCCTCTCGGGCTCCTGCAACCATTTCTTGACCTTGATCATGCACGAGGTCGCGCATAATTTGGCATTCAAGCGTCTTTTTGCCAATCGGGTCTTCTCCATCATTGTCAACCTGCCTTTGGGGATACCGGCAGCCATGTGGGTGTGGGAGGGCGGGCCGGAGGGAGGGGTGCAGGCGCCTACATCGGGGTGACAAGTGGAAGAGGGAAAGGGAAGAGACAGAAGGGAGGGTCTGTTGCGTATTCTGGCGTGCCGGGGACAAGAAACGTTGGGGCAGTGGCGATCGTTTTCTCTCCAGACTGAGTGGGCGCTGCGTGTCGACGGCGAAGAGATGAAAAAAGTGAAAGGGGAGGGAGAGGGGAAGGACGCGAAGGAAGACGCTATCGTCTGGAAACGCCTCGGTTGCGTGACCGGGCAGTGACAAGTCTGTTTCTGGGGGTCATGCCCTCATTTTTTCACTCCGTTCTTTCCTCTTTCACTCGTCCGCAGCTCCTTTAAGCGCTACCACATGGAGCATCACAAGTATCAAGGCGATGAGACAGTGGACGTGGATCTCCCCACGGATGTTGAAGGTGAGATAGGAAGGAAATGAGGGAGAGAGGGAGGGATGGAGGAGAGAAGGAGGGGTGGTGAAGAAGCGGCTTCAAATCTGTTGCCAAGACGAAATGTTTTGTAAGGGGATTCTCGAAAGGCATGAAAGAGGAGATGGGAGGATCAGGGGATAGTGCTGAAAGGAAGCTTGGGTTCCTTGCATGAACCTCCCTCCCCCCCTTTGTCCCTCCCTCCCT